ACTTGCAAGATCCCAGTGTTCATACTGCCCCCATCCAGAGTTAATACTCCCCCTATCCCAGTGTCCACACTCCCCCATCTCAGTGTCTACACTGCCCTGATCCCTTTATCCACATTTCTAGATCCTCAAGTCCACACTTTCCAGATCTCAGTATCCATACTCCCCAGATATTAGTGTCCATATTCCAAGATCCCAGTGTCCCCATTCCCGAGATCCCACTGTCCATATTCCCTAGATCCCAGTGTCCACTATCCCAAGATCCTAGTGTTCACACTCAAAGATACCAGTGTCCACATTACCCAGTTCCAAGTGTCCACATACCCCAGATCCCAGTGTCCACAATTTCCAGATCCCAGTGTCCACACTCCCAGATCTCCGTGTTCTCACTCTCCAGATTCCAGTGTCCACACCCCTCAGATCCCAGTGTGCACTATCCCCCAATTCCAGTTTCCAAACCCCATAGATCCCAGGGTCCACACTCCTAATCCCCATGTCCACCCACTCTAGATCCCAGTGCCCACCCTCCCACATCCCAGTGTTCACACGACCCAGAGTCCAGTGTGCACCTTCCTCTGATCCCAGGATCCACACGCCCCATATACCAGTGTCAACATTCCAAATAATACAGTGTCCAAACTCCCTACATCCCAGTATCCAGGCTCCATAGATTCCAGTGTCCACACTGCCCAGATTCAGTGTCCACACTCCCCATGTCTCAGTGTCCCCTGATCTGATCTCAGTGTCCCCTCTCCCAAGATCCCAGTGTCCACACTCCCCATGTCTCAGTGTCCACACTGCATGGACTCAAGTGTCCACACTCCTCAGCTCTTAGTGTCCTCACTGATCACAGTGTCTTCACTCCTCTGGTACGATTATCGACAATAGCCAGAGTTCAGTGTGCACACTCCACCGATGCCCGTGTCGACACTCCACCGAGCAGAGTGTCCATACTACCCAGATCCAGTGTGCACACTCCACATGTCCCAGTGTCCACACTGCTCAGATACCAGTGTGCACACTAACCAGAGTCCAGTGTGCACACTCCACATATCCCAGTGTCCACACTGCTCAGATACCAGTGTGCACACTACCCAGAGTCCAGTGTGCACTCTCTTCTGAACCCAGGGTCCACACTACCCCAATCCCTGTGTGCACAATCCCCAGATCCCAGTGTCCACACCACCCAATTCCCAGTGTGCATATTATCCAGAGACCAATTTGTACACTCCTCTGATCCCAGGTGCCACACTCCCCATATCCCAATGTTAACTCCCAAAAGAGTACAGTGCCCAATCTCGGCACATGCCACTATCCAGATTCCACATATTGCAATATCCACACTGCCCAGATCACAGTGTCAACACTCCCCAGATGCCAAGGTCCCCACACCACAGATCCCAGTGTTCACATTCTACCAATCCCACGGTGCACACTCTCCAGTTCCCATTGTTCACACTTCCCCATCCCAGTGTCCACACTCACAGATTCCTGTGACCACACTCTCCAGATCTCCAAACTTATCAGAGACCATTGTCCACAATCCCAGATCTCAGTGTGCACACTACCCACAGTCCAGTATGCCCTCTTCTCTGATCCCAGGTTCCACATTCCCCTCATCCCAGTGTCCACACTGCAAAGAGTACAGTTTCCCAAGTCCCCATATCCCAGTATCCAGACTCCATAGATTGCAGTGTATACACTGTCCAGATCCGAGGTCCACATTCCCCCCCACCGAGATTCCTGTGTCAACACTCCCGAACCTTCAGTGTCCACAGTGCATGGACTCCAATGCATACATTCCCAAGATCTTACTGTCCTCACTAATCACAGTGTCCACACTCCCCAGATCTAATGTGCACAGTACCCATATCCCAGTGGCAACACTGCTCAATTTCCAGTGTACACACTACCCAAAGTCCAGTGTGCACACTCCTCTGATCCTAGGGTCCACACTCCCCAGATCCCTGGGTGCATTTTCCTCAGGCCCACAGTCCACACAACCCAATTCCCAGTGTCCACAACCCACAGAGAAATGTCCTCACTCCCCAGATCCCAGTGTCCCCATTCCCAGATCACAGTGTGAACATTACCCAGAGACCAGTGTGCACATTCCCCAAATCCCATGGTCCACACTCCCCATATCACAATGTCCACACTCGAAAGAGTAGAGTGTCCAAACTCCTTATATCCCGGTGTCCAGACTCCATAGATTCAGAGATCCCAGTGTCCACACTCCTTGATCCCAATGCGCACACTTTATTGTCCAGAGTGCACTCTCCTCAGAGTCCAATATCCCCACTCCCAAGATCCTTGTGATGACACTCCGCAGATCCCAGTGTCCAAACTACCAGATCCCAGGGTAAACACTTCTCACAGTCCAATGTGCACACTCCTCAGCTCCCAGGGTCCACACTCCCCATATCTCAGTGTCAACACTCCAAAGGTTACAGTGTCCAAACTCCACACTTCCCAGTATCCAGACTCCATAGACTCCAGTGTGCACACTCCCTGGGTCTCAGTGTCCACACTCCTCCATTCCCATTGACCACATTCCCAAGATCCCAGCGTCCACAGTCCCCATTTCCCAGTGTCCAAAATTTGATGATCCCAGTGTCCACACTCCCCAGATCCCAATGTCCACACTCCCCTGATACTAGTGTACCCACTCCCCCTTTACCAGTGTACAAATTCCCAGATCCAAATGTCCACACTCCCAGATCCCCATGTCCACACTCTCTAGATTCCAGTGTCTACACTCCTCAGATCCTAGTATGCACAGCACACAGAGCACAGTGTCCACACCCCACAGAGCACAGTGTCCACACTCCTCAGATCCAATGTCCATCCTCCCCAGATTCCATTGTCCACACTGCCCAGATCCCAGTGTTGACACTCCTTAGATCCCAATGTCCATATTTCCCCGATCCCAGTGTCCACATTACCCACATCCCAGTGTACACACCCCGATATTCCAGTGTATACAATACACAGATCCCAATGTCCACACTCCCCAGATTCCAGTGTTCGACTCCTTGTATATCAGTGTACAAACTTTCCAGATCTTGTGTCCACACTCCCAGATCCACGTGTCCACATTCTCCAGATCCCAGTGTAGACAATACACAGAGTCCAGTGTCCACATTCCCAACATCCCAGGATTCTCATTGCCCAGATCCTAGTGTGCACACTCCCAACAACCCAGTGTCCACATGTCTAATATTCCAGTGTCCACACTCCCTAGAACCCAGTGTGCACACTCCCAAGATAACAGTATCCTCAGTGCCAGATCCTCGAGTCCACAGTTTTCAGATTTCAGTATCCACACTCCTCAGATCATAGTGTCCACACTTCCCAGATCCCAGTATCCACACCTTCCAGATCCCAGTGTTCACCTTCCCCTGATCCCAGTGTCCACATTCCCACTGTCCACACTCTCCAGGTCCTAGTGTCCACACTCTCAGGACAGTGTGTACACTTTCCTCTGATCCCAGTGTCTCCACTCTCCAGATTCCATTGACCACACTCCCAAGATCCCAGTGTCCACACTACCCTGATCCTAGTGACTACACTCCCAAGATTTAGTGTCCACACCTTCCAGATCAAAATGTCTATACTCCCCAGATCCCAGTGTTCACAATCTTCCTATAGAAGTGTATAAACTCCCCAGATCCCAGTGTCCACACACCCCAAACCCAGTGCCCACCCTCCATGATCCCAGTGTGCACATTACCCACAGTTCAGTGTGTACACTTCTCTATCCCAGGATCCACACTTCTCACATCCCAGTGTCCACATCCCAGTATCCAGTCTCCATCAATTCCAGTGTCCATACTGCCCAGATCCAGGGTCCACACTCCCCCGACCTCAGTGTCCACCCTCCCAAGATCCCAGTGTCCACACTTCACATGTCTCAGTGTCCACAGTCCATGGATTCAAGTGTCCACATTACCAGAACTTAGTGTCCTCAGTAATTACAGTCCGGTGTCCACACGCCCAAATGCCAGTGTCCACACTCTCAGATACCAGTGTACACACTCCCTAGAGTGCAGTGTGCAGACTCCCCAGATGCCAGTGGCCATATCCCACAGAGCACAATGTCCACACTCCCCAGATCCAATGTTCACATTCCCCAGATCCCAGTGTGCACACTAACCAGAGTCCAGTGTGCATACTCCTCTGATCGCAGAGTCCAAACTCCCCAGATTCTTGGGGGCACATTCCTCAGACCCAGTTTCCAAATAATCCAATTCTCAGTGTGCACATGCCACAGAGTACAGTGTCCACACTCAGTAAACTCCAACGTTCTTACTCTCAAGATCCCAGTGTCCAAAACCCACAAGGTCCAGTGTCCACATACCCCAGATACCAGTGTCCAAACTCTCCAGATTCCAGATTCCAGTGTCCAAGATTCACAGATTCCGGGGTCTACACTCCCACCATCCTAGGATCCATACTGCCCAGATCCAAGTGTCCACACTCCCAAGATCTCAGTGTCCATTCTCCCCAGATATCATTGTCCACATTCCCAAGATCCTAGTGTCCACAATCCCCAGATCCCAGGGTCCACACTCCCAGATCTCCGTGTTCTCACTCTCCAGATCCCAGTGTCCACAATCCCCAGATCCCAGTGTGCTCAATCCCCCTATTCCAGTTTCCAAACTCCATAGATCCCACTGTCCATATCCCTAGTTCCCCGTGTCCATCCTCTCCAGATCCCAGTGCCCACCCTCCCATATCTCAGTGTTAACACGACCCAGATTCCAGTGTGCACCCTCCTCTCATCCAAGGATCCACACTCCCCATATCCCAGGAGGAAGAACACTGGATTTTGGGTGTGTGGACACTAGGATCTGGAGAGTTTGTACACTGGTATAGGGAGAGTATGAACACTGGGATCTGGGGAGTATGGACATTGGGATCTGGGGACTGTGGACACTAGATCTTGGGAGTGTGGTCACTAGGATCTGGGGAGTGTGGACACTGAGATCTTGAGAGTGTGGTCAATGGAATCTGGGGTTGGAAACACTGGGATGAGTGCACACAGGGATCTGGGAGTGTTGACTCCGGATCTGGACAGTGTGGACAGTGGACTCTATGGAGTCTGGATACTGGGATGTGGGGAGTTTGGACACTGTAGTCTTTGCAGTCTTGACACTGGGATATGGGGAGTGTGGAACCTGGGATCAGAGAAGTGTGCACACTGGACTGTCGGTAGTGTGCACACTGCGAACTGAGGAGTGTGTACACTGCGATCTGGAGAGTGTGGACATGGAGTTCTGGGAGTGTGGACATTTAGATCTGGGGATTTGTATACTGGTATAGGGAGTGTGTGCACACTATTATCAGGAGAGTGTGGACATGGGTCTGGGAGTGTGGACACGGGGCTCTTGGAAATTTGGACATTGGGAAATGGGGACTTTGGACACTGGGCTCTTAGGAGTGTGGTCAATGGATATGGGGGAGTGGGGACACGAGTCTATGGTTTCTCGATACTGGGAATTGGGGAATTTGGACACTGTAACCTTTGGATTGTTGACACTAAGATATGGAGAGAATGGACCCTGGGATCCGAGGAATGTGCACATTGGACTCTGCGTAGTGTGCGCCCTGGGATCTGGGAGTTTGGACACTAGGATCTGGTGAGTGTGGACACTGAGATCTCGGGAGTGAAGACCTTGGACTCTGAGGAGTGTGCACACTGGACTCTAAGGAGTGTGCTCATTGGGATCTAGGAGTGTGGACACTGGGATCTCTGAATCTATGGAGTCTGGAGTTTGGACACTGTGAAATGGGGAGTGTGGATCGTGGGCTTTGAGGAGTGTGCACACTGGTCTCTGGGTATTGTGCACACTGTGATCTGAGAGTGTGGACACTGAGAGCTGGGGAGTGTGGACACTGGGATATGGGGAGTGTCGACACTGGGATCTTGGAAGTGTGGACACTGGGATCTGGGGAGTGTGGACACTGGGATCTGGCAGTTTGGACACTGGGATCAGGGAACTCTAGACCCTTGAATCTGGGGAGTATGGACACTAGGATCTGGGGATTGTGAGCACTGGGATCGAGCAAGTGTGCACACTGTGATCCGGTGAGTGTGGACATCGGGATGTGGTGTGTTTGGAGTGTGTACTCTGTGGAGTGTGGACACTGGAGTCTGGGGAATGTGCACACTGGGATCGGGGTAGTGTGGACCCTAGATCTTGGCAGTGTAAACACTGAAATCTATGGAGTCTGGATACTGGGATGTGGGGAGTTTGGACACTGTACTCTGGAGTGTTGACACTGGGATATGGGGAGTGTGGAACCTGGGATTATTGGAGTGTGCACACTGAACTCTGGGTAGTATGGACTCTGGGATCTGGGTGGGTGGACAATGGGATCTGGGGAAATTGGACACTGTGATCTGGAGAGTGTGGACATGGGGGTCTGGGATTGTGGACACTGGGATCTGGGTATTCTGACACTGTTTTCTGGGTAGTATGGACACTGGGTTCTGCAGAGTGTGGACATAGAGATCTGGAGATTATGGACACTGGGTTCTGGGGAGTATAGACACTGGAATCTGGGGAGTGTGGACCCTGGGATCCAGAGAATGTGGACACTGGACTCTTGGTAGTGTGAACAATGATATCTGGGAAGTGTGGACACTGGGATCTGGGGAGTGCGGAGACTGACATCTGGAGAGTATGGACTCGGGGATCTAGCAGTGTGGATACTGGGATCTTGGGAGTGTGGAGACTGGGATAGGTGAGTGTGCACACTGGGATATGGGAAGTATGGACAATGGGCTCTGTGGACTGTGGACAATGGGATCTGTGGACTGTGGACAATGGGATCTGGAGAGTGTGGAAACTTGGATCTTGGGAGTGTGGACACTTGGATCTAGGCAATGTGGATCCTAGGATGTTGGGAGTGTAAACACCGGACTCTGTGAATTGTGGACACTGGGATCTAGATAGTTTGGACACTGTTATCTGGGGAGTATGGACACTGGACCTTGTATATTGTGGACACTGGAATCTGGGAGTAAGAACATTAGACTCTGCTGAGTGTGGACACTGTGCTCTGTGGGGTCTGGACACTAGGATTTGGGTTGTGTGGACAGTGGGTCTGAGGAAAGTGCTTCCAGGGATCTGGGGAGTGTGGACCCTAGGATCAGAGGCGTGTGCACAGTGGACTCTTGTTAGTGTGCACACTGGGATCTGGGGAGTGTGAACATTGGATCTGGGGAGTGTGGACATTGTGCTCTGTAGGATATGGCCACTGGAATCTTGGGACTCTGCACACTGCACTCTGGGGAGTGTGTACACTGGTATCTGTGAGTGTGGACACTGGTATCTGGGAGTGTGGACACTGGTATCTGGGAGTGTGGACATTGGAAAGTGATTACTGAGGACACTATGATCTGGTAATTGGGACACTTGAGTCCATGGACTGTGGACACTGAGACATGGGGAGTATGGACAATAGGAACTTGCTGGGGTGAACACCAAGATCGTGGGAGTGTGGACCCTGGATCTGGGCAGTGTGGACACTGGAATCTATGGAGTCTGGCTACTCGATGTGGACACTGGAATATGAGAAGTGTGGATCCTGGGATAGAGGAGTGTACACACTGAACTCTGGGAAATGTACACACTGGGATCTTGGAGGGTGGTTACTGGATTTGGGGTGTGTGGACACTGGAGTCTGGGTAGTTTGTACAATGGTATAGGGAGAGTATGAACACTGGGTCTGGGGAGTATGGACATTGGGATCTGGGGAGTGTGGACACTAGATCTTGGGAGTGTGGTCACTAAGATCTGGGGAGTGTGGACACTGGGATCTTGGGAGAGTGATCAATGGGATCTGGGGAGTGGGCACACTGGGAGCAGAGGAGAGTGTACACAGGGATCTGGGAGTGTGGACACTTGGAACAGGGGAGTGTGAAAACTGGGATCCGTAGGGTGTGGATACTGGGAGCTGGGGAGTGTGGACACTGGGGTCTAGGGATTGTGGACACTGGGACACTGGGAGTGTGGACACTTGAAACAGGGGCATGTGAACACTGGGATCTGAAGGGTTTGGACACTGGGACCTGGGGAGTGTGGACACTGGGATCTTGGGGGTGTGGACACTGGGTTCTAGGGAGTGTGGACACTGGAATATTAGGAATATGGACACTGGTTTGTTGGGAGTGTGGACCCTGGGTTCTGGGAAATGTGGATCCTGGGATGTTGGGAATGTGGACACTGGACTCTGGGTATTTTGGACACTGGGATCTTGGTAGTGTGGACACGTGGATTTGGGAGTGTGGACACGGGATCTGGGAAGTTTGTACACTGATGTACGAGGAGTTTGAACACTGGAATCTAGGAAGTGTGGACATTGGGATTTGTGGAGTGTGTAGGGGAGTGTGGTCACTGGGATCGGGGAGTGTGTAGACTGGGATCGGGGGACTGTGAACTTTGGGATCGGGGTAATATGGACATTGGGATCTGGGGAATGTGGACACTGGGATCTGGGCAGCATACACGAATCTTAGGAGTGTGGACATTGGATCTGGGGAGTGTGGACATTGTGCTCTGTGAGGTGTGGACACTGTGCTCTGTGGGGTGTGAACACTGGCATCTGGGGAGTCTTCACACTGCACTCTGGGGAGTGTTGACTCCAGATCTGGGCAGAGTGGACAGTGGAATCTATGGAGTCTGGATACTGGGATGTGGGGAGTTTGTACACTGTACTCTTTGGAGTGTTGACACTGGGATATGGGGAGTGTGAAATCTGGGATCGGAGAAGTGTGCACACTGGACTGTCGGTAGTGTGCACACTGGGATCTGAGGAGTGTGGACACTGCGATCTGGAGAGTGTGGACATGGGGTTCTGGGAGTGTGGACATTTGGATTTGGGGATTTGGTATAGGGGGAGTGTGCAGTAGTATCAGGGGAGTGTGGACACTGGGATCTGGAGAGTGTGCACCCAGGGATCTGGGTAGTAAGGACCTTGGGTTCAGAAGAGTGTGCACACTGTACTCTGGCTAGTTTGCACACTGGTATCTGAGAAGTGTGGACAATGAGATGTGTGGAGTGTGAACATTGGATCTGGGGAGTATGGACACTGTGCCTGGCGGGGTGTGGACACTGGCATCTGGGGAGTCTGCACACTGAACACTCAGTAGTGTGGATAATGGTATCAGTGGAGTGAAGACACTGTGATTAGTGAGGACACTAAGATCTGGGGAATGTGGACACTTGAGTCTATGGACTGTGGACACTGAAGCATGGGGAGTGTAGACACTGGGATCTTGGGAGGGTGGACACTAGGATTTGGGCAGTGTGGACACTGGAATCTATGGAGTCTGGGTACTGGGATGTGGGGAGTTTGGACTTTGTATTATTTGGAATGTTGACACTGGGATATGGGGAGTGTGGATCCTGTGATCAGAGGAGGGTGCACAGTGGAATCTGGGTCATCTGAACATTGGGATGTGGAAGAGTGGACACTGGGATCTGGAGTAGGTGGACACGGGGAAGATAGAGTGTGGACACTGGGATCTATGGAGTGTGGAAACTGGAATAGGGGGATTGTGTACACTGGGATCTGGGGAGTGTGGACACTGGGATCTGGAGAGGGAGAACACGGAGATTTGGGAGTGTGGACACTGGGATCTGGGGATTATGGACACTAGGATCTGGGGAGTGTGGACACTTGGAATTGGGTAATGTGGATACTGGGGTCTTGGGATAGTGGACACTGAGATCTTGGGATTGTAGACACTGGGATCTATGGAGTGGGGACAATGGGATCTTGGGAATATGGACACTGATATCTGGGGAGTGTGTATACTGGGTTCTGGAAAGTGTAGACTCGGAGATCTGGGAGTGTGGATACTGGGATCAGGGCAGTGTGGACACTGGGATAGTGGGGTGTATTAACTCTGGATGGGGAGGAGTATGAACACTGGGATCTTGAGAGGGTAGACATTGAGATCTGTTGAGTGTGGACACTGGAATCTAGGGATTCGGGTTTGTGGGGAGGATGGACACTGGGATCTGGGCAGTGTGGACACTGAAATCTATGGAAGCTGGATACTGGGATATGGGGAGTTTGGACACTGTACTACTCTTTGGAGTGTTGACCCTGAGATATGGGGAGTGTGGAACCTAGGATTACAGGAGTTTGCACACTGAACTCTGGATAGTATGGACACTGGGATCTGAGTGGGTGGACAATGGGATTTGGGGAGATTGGACACTGTGATCAGGAGAGTATGGACACAGTGTCTGGGAGTGTTGACACTTTGTTCTGGGGAGTATAGACAATGGAATCTGGGAAGTGTGGACACTGGAATCCAGGGAATGTGGACACTGGACTCTGGGGAGTGTGAAAAATGATATCTGGGAAGTGTGGACACTGGGATCTGGGGAGTGTGGATACTGACATCTGGAGAATGTGGAATTGGGGATTTCGGCAGTGTGGATACTGGGATGTTGAGAGTGTGGACACTGGCATAGGGGAGTGTGCATACTGGGATCTGTGGAGTGTGGACACTGGGATCTTTGGAGTGTGCACACTTGGATCTGGGCAATGTGGATCCTAGGATGTTGGGAGTGTAGACACCGGACTCTGTGAATTGTGGACACTGGGATCTGGAGAGTTTGGACACTGGTATCTGGGGAGTGTGGACACTGGACCTTGTGGATTGTGGACACTGGGATCTTGGGAGTAAGAATATTAGACCCTGCTGAGTGTAAACACTGTGCTCTGTGGGGTGTGGACACTAGGAATTGGGTTGTGTGGAAACTGGGTCTGAGGAATGTGCACCCAGGAATCTGGGGAGTGTGCTCTCTGCAATCAGAGGAGTGTGCACAGTGGACTCTGGTTAGTGTGCACACTGGGATATGGGGAGTGTGAACATTGGATCTAGGGAGTGTGGACATTGTGGTCTGTGGGATATGGCCACTGGCATCTGGGGAGTCTGCACACTGCACTCTGGAGAGTGTGTACACTGGTATCTGGGATTCTGGACACCGGAAAGTGATTACTGAGGACACTAAGATCTGGTAATGTACACACTTGAGTCCATGAACTGTGGACACTGAGACATGTGAAGTGTGGACACTGGGATCTGGGCAGTGTGGACACTGGAATCTATGGAGTCTGGATACTGGGATGTGAACACTGGGATATGAGAAGTGTGGATCATGGGATAGAGGAGCTTACACACTGAACTCTGGGTAATATGCTCATTGGGACCTTGGAGGGTGGACACTGGATTTGGGGTGTTTGGACACTGGGATCTGGGGAGTTTGTACACTGGTATTGGGAGAGTGTGAACACTGGGACTGGGGAGTATGGACATTGGGTTCTGGGGAGTGTGGACACTAGGTCTTGAGTGTAGTCACTAGAATCTGGGGACTGTGGCCACTGGGGAGTGTGGTCAATGGGAATGGGGGAGTGTGGACACTGGTATCTGGGAGTTTGAACACTGGAGTCTGGATACTGTGAAGTGGGGAGTTTGGACACTGTAACCTTTGTGGTGTTGACACTGAGATATGAGGAGTATGGACCCTGGCATCTGAGGAGTGTGCACATTGGACTCTGCGTAGAGTGCACCCTGCGATCTGGGAGTTTGGACTCTAGGACCTGGGGTGTGTGGACACTGGGATCTCGGGGACATTGGACTCTGAGGAGTGTGCACCATGGACTCTGAGTGTGCACACTGGGATCTAGGAGTGCGGACACTGGGATCTCTGAATCTATGGAGTCTGGATACTGGGAAATGAAGAGTTTGGACACTACTCTTTCGAATATGGACACTGTTATATGGGTAGTGTGGACCATAGGATTTGAGGAGTATGCACACTGGTCTCAGGGTAAGGTGCACACTGTGAACTGGGAGTGTGAACACTGGGATCTGGGAAGTGTGGGCACTGGGATAGGGGGAGTGTGCCCATTCTGATTGGGGATCTGTGAACACTGGGATCTTGGAAGTGTGGACACTGGGATCTTAGGATTGTGGACACTGGGATATTGGGAGTTTCGACAATGGGATTTGGGGAGAGTGGACACTGGGTTTTTGGGAGTGAGGACATTGGACTCTGAGAAGTGTGCACCCTGGACTTTGAGGAGTATGCACATTCGGATCTAGGAGTGTGGACACTGATATCTCTGAATCTATGGTGTCTGGATACGGGGATATGAGGACTTTGGACACTCTACTCTTTCGAGTGTGGACCAAGGGATTTGAGGAGTGTGCACACTGGTCTCTGGGTAATGTGCACACTGTGATCTGGGAGTGTGAACACTGGGATCTGGGGAGTGTGGAAACTGCGATAGGGGGAGTGTGCCCACTTGGATGAGGGTTCTGTGAACAATGGGATCTTGGGAATGTGGACAGTGGGATCTTCAGAGTGTGGACACTGGAATCAGGAAAGTCTGGACACTTGGATCTAGGGAGTATGGACACTGGGATCTGGGGATTGTGAACACTGGGATTGGGGGAGTGTGAACATTGGGATCCGGGGAGTGTGGACACCGGGATTTATGGAGTATGGAGGGTGTACTATATGCAGTGTGGACATACCAGTCTGGAGACTGTGCACACTGGGATCTAGGGAGTGTGGACACTGGTATCTGGGCAGTGTGGACACTGGAATCTGTGGAGTGTGGATACTGGGATGTGGGGACTTTGGACACTGTACTCTTTGGAATGTTGACACTGGGAGTGTGGATCCTGGGATCAGAGGAGGGTTCACACGATGGGCAGGATTAACACTGGGATGTGGGAGAGTGGGCACTGAGATCTGGAGAGGGTGGACACGAGGAACTGGGAGTGTGGACACTGGGATCTATGGAGTATGGAAACTGGAATAGTGGGATTGTGCACACTGGGATCTGGAGAGTTTGGACAATGGTATCTGGGGAGTGTGGACACTGGACCTTGTGGATTGTGGATACTGGGATCTTGGGAGTAAGAACATTGGACTCTTCTGAGTGTGGGGTGTGGAAACTGGCAATTGGGTTGTGTGGAAACTGGGTCTGAGGAATGTGCACCCAGGAATCTGGGGAGATTGGACTCTGATCAGAGGAGTGTGCACACTGGACTCTGGGTAATGTGCATACTGGGATATGGGGAGTGTGAACATTGGATCTAGGGAGTGTGGACATTGAGATCGAGGGAGTGTATACCCTCAATCTGGGAAGTGTATACACTGGAATCTATGGAGTCTGGGTACTGGGATGTGGACACTGGGATATGAGAAGTGTGGATCCTGGGATAGAGGACTGTATACACTGAACTCTGGGTAATGGGCACACTGGGAACTTGGAGGGTGGACACAGGATTTGGGGTGTGTGGACACTGGGATCTGGGGACTGTGAAAACTGGCTTCTGGGGAGTGTGGACACTGGGATCTTGGGAGTGTGGTCAATGGGAATGGGGGAGTATGGACACTGGGATCTGGGGGAGTGTGCACACTTGAGTCTATGGAGTCTGGATACTGGGAAGTGGGAAGTTTGGACACTGTAACCTTTGGAGTGTTGACACTGAGATATGGAGAGTATGGACTTTGGGATCCGAGGAGTGTGCACATTGGACTGTGAGTAGTGTGCACCCTGGGATCTGGGAGTTTGGACACTGGGATCTGGGGAGTGTGGACACTGGGATGTCAGGAGTAAGGACATTGGACTCTGAGGAGTGTGCACCCTGGATTCGGAGGAGTGTGCAAATTGGATGTAGGAGTGTGGACACTGGTATCTCTGAATCTATAAAGTCTGGATACTAGAATATGAGGAGTTTGGACACTCTACTCTTTCGACTGTGGATACTGTGATATGAGGAATGTAGACCATGGGATTGAGGAGTGTGTACACTGGTCTCTGGGTAATATACACACTGTGATCTGGCAGTGTGGACACTTGGATCAGGGGAGTGTGCACCCTGGGATAGGGGGAGTGTGCCCACATGGATCATGAATCTGTGAACACTGGGATCTTGGGAGTGGAGGCACGGGGATGTTGGGAGTGTGGACACTTGGATCTGGGGACTATGGACACTGGGATCTGGGGATTGTGAACACGGATCGGCGGGGTGTGAACATTGGGATCCGGGGAGTGTGGACACCAGGATGTGGGAACTGTGGAGGGTGTACTCTGTCGAGTGTGGACACTGGAGTCAGGGGACTGTGCACACTGGGATATAAGGAGTGTGGACACTTGTATCTTGGGAATGTGGACAATGGACTCAGTGGGTTATGGACACTGGGATCTTGGTAGTGAGGACACCGTACTCTGGGGAGTGTAGACACTGCTCTGTGAGGTGTGGACACTGGGAATTGGGTTTTGTGGACAAAGGGTCTGAGGAAAGTGCACCCAGGGATCTGGGGAGTGTGGACCCTAGAATCAGAGGAGTGTGCAGACTGGACTCTGTGTAGTGTGTCCACTTGTATCTGAGAAGTGTGGCCACTGGGATCTGGGTATTGTGCACATTGGATCTGGGGAGTGTGGGCACTGTACTCTGTGTGGGGTGTGGCCAGGGACATCTGGGGAGTCTGCATACTGCACTCTGGGGAGTGTGGACACTGTGAATAGTGAGGACAGTAAGATCTGGGGAATGTGGACACGTGAGTCCATGCAGTGTGGACAGTGATGGGTGGGGAGTGTGGAAACTGGGATCTCGGGAGGGTGGACACAGGGATCAGGGTAGTGTGGACCTTGTTCTGGGCAGTGTAAACACTACAGTCTGTGCAGTCTGGATCCTGGGATGTGGGGAGTTGGGACCCTGTACTCTTTGGAGTGTTGACACTGGGATATGGGGAGTGTGGAACCTGGGATCAGAGAAGTGGGCACACTGGACTGTGGGTAGTGTGCACACTGGAATCTGGGTTTGTGGACACTGGGATCTGAGGAGTGTGGACACTGGGATCTGGAGAGTGTGGACGCAGGAATCTGGGTGTATGAACACTGGGATTGGGGGAGTGTGAACAATGGGAACTGGGGAGTGTTTACCTTGGGATCTGGGGAATATGAACACTGGGGTCTGTTGTGTGGGGACATTGGCATCTGGGGAGTGTGGACACTGTGATTTGGACAGTGTGGACACTGGAATCTATGGAGTCATGATACTGGGATGTGGGGAGTTTGGACACTGTAATACTTTGGGTGTTAACAATGGGATATGGGGAGTGTGGAACCTGGGATCAGAGGAGTGTGCACACTGGACTGTGGGTAGTGTGCACACTGGGAATTGGGTTGCGTGGACACTGGGATCTGGGGAGTGAGCACCCAGGGATCTGGGTAGTGTGGAGCCCGGATTTAGCAGAGTGTTCACAATGGACTCTGGGTAGTGTGCACACTGGTATCTGAGCAGTGTGGACACTGGGATAAGGGGAGTGTGAACATTGGATCTGGGGAGTATGGACACTGTGCCCGGTGGGGTGTGGACACTGGCATCTGGGGAATCTGCACATTGAACTCTGGGTAGTGTGGATAGTGTTACCAATGGAGTGAAGATACTGTGATTAGTGAGGACACTAAGATCTGGGGAATGTGGACACTTGAGTCCCTGGACTGTGGACTCTGAAGCATGGGGAGTGTGGACACAGGAATCTTGGGAGGATGGACAT